GAACAACTGGCAGAAATAAGCTCATGCATAATGCTGAACCCATGAGGGAGATCGCCACCAGCCACAGGCTTCACCCTGTGACCAACCCCCAACATAAAACACCCCTAAATAATCTTCTCCCTGACACAGAATAACACATCACACATCTTTAACTAAGAGACAACAATATGAACAACATAAACAGTGCTTGTTTAGCTGTTGTAAGATCCAAGATGATCCATCTCTCTTAAAAAGAGGAGATTCCACCAGAGCTTAACTGCACATGACCATAGCATGTGTAGAATGGAGGTGCCGTTTCCTTCACAACTCCAGCAGGAGTATTTCATTTACATAGTTGTTGTGGTGTCTGATGCCATCTGTGTATTATTATTAATTTACTAAATCTATTATCTATTTATTTGTACATGCTTTAAATATTATTCAAACATGACTTGCAGGCCTCAGTAGATATACCTGCAGCCAGGTCCTCTGTCCACTGTTCTTCAATCAGGCCATCTATAGGGCAAGTAAAAGGGCTTTTTAACCATTTAGACAGGGTATTTCGCATTTGGACATCGGACCCCCAGAACTGATTATATGGATAGGTTTAGTTTGTTTTAAAAGCTATTAGTTGTTTAGTTTGTTATTTTGATATATGCTCATCAACAAACGGCTGAGAATTAACCCTCTGCTGCCGGCACAGATGAACAGACTAAAAGGTGCTACATTAGAAAAGCTAATCCAGCCATTAAAAGTCTTTATTTAGTTCACACTTTAGGCCATGTTTATAAGAGTGAGTCGTACAGCATCAGAAACCAACTGCACACGCTTTGAGACATTAATGCATGGCATTAGCACCACGCTAAATGAGGGCGTATAAGCTCCCACTGCTAGTTAGCAACATTAGCTCCAGTGCTAAAACTACAGTAAACTTCAGACACTAAACATGTTTTGGCTGATTGACTACATTTGGCGTAAATGCCAGGGTTTGATGTTTCTCACCTTCACCGATAAACAGGTCATGATTAACTCTCTGCTCTCTGCACAGTCTACAAATCAGATCACCTTTTTATAAACAGATGCTAAATAAAGCGTCAGGTTTGTGTTCTCTGGCCGTTCCGCTCTGTAAAAGGAGATGGGGGTAAATCGACACGCGAGCAGAGAGCGTGAGAGTGAGTCGTCCCATGCTGTGCAGGAAACTTCCTGTGTTTCTTCCTGGTTTCCAAACCCCATTTATTTTTAATGGGTCATGAGAACATAACTTCACAGACCACATTCACTGAAATCCTGTTTAAGATGTGCTCATATGGAGCAGGAGCAAAATAAACATCTAGTTTATTCATACTTAATCCAATAAACTAGTAAAATCTACTAGAAATTACTACCATGAATTATTCAGTAACTGATGTAAATTATTCACTATGTACTGTGATTTATTGTCACTAATATTAATTATTCAGTATCCACTATGAATTATTAAGCATCTACTATGACTTATTCAGTATCTACTATGAATTATTCAGTAACTACTATAAATGATTCAGCATCTAGTATGAATTAGCCAGTATCTGCTATGAATTATTCAGTTTCACTCTATAAATTATTTAGTATTTACTATGAATTATTCAGTGTCAACTATGAATTATTCAGTATCTACTATGAATTATTCAGTTTCACTATAGATTATTCAAGATCCACTATTAATTATTCAATATTTACTATGAATTATTTAGTATCCACTATCAATTATTCAGTATCCACTATCAATTATTCAGTAACTACTATAAATTATTCAGTATCTACTATGAATTATTCAGTTTCACTATAAATTATTCAGTATCCACTGTGAATTATTCAGTATCACTATCAATTATTCAGTATCCACTATGAATTATTCAGTAACCACTATCAATTATTCAGTATCCACTATGAATTATTTTGAATATACTATTCGTCCTCATCCACGCCGTACAAGGAGATTTTGTCCAACAATTCGCTCTAGGGCTAACTACGCCTTGCTTGTTCAGCCATCAGCTACAGCCTGATGCGGCACTTCCTATTCTAACAGAACACAGCTACAGGTTAACCCCACCTTCAAAATAAGAGTCTTTGCAGGAATAACCCAGTGAACAAATGCTAGAGAATGAACTCTCTAAAATTAACCTGCTTAACTTCATGAACAGGCTACCAGGGTTGGGAAAAATACTTGCTGTAATTTTTATTTAATTCATGCTGTTCCTCGCTGTTACTGGTTGGCAGCTTTCTTCATGTAATTATTCTGTTATTTTAAGTTCTTTAAATTAATACAAAAATGAATACTAAATTCTCAAGGTTATTTTTGCTCTCATCTGCTTCTTTCCACTGCTGCTCCCACAATCTCACTGCCCTTCTCTTATCAATTCACCACATCTCAATAACAAAATCCTGCAAATTTAACTATAAAGTGGGTTTCTATGGGATGTTCAGTGAATCAGAGGTAACTTGTCACAGAACACAAGCACAAGTCTATTACAATAACAAAGCTAAGCTTATTACTCGATAATAAGCTAGTAAGCACATCTCAGTTTAATCATCCCTCAAAAGAGTTTGCTAATACTCAGTTTTATAACAGGCTTATCACAGTGATTTATCAGTCTACTCAGGCTTTAGCAGGAACTACAGTGTTTGTAGAAAGGGCCTTTTTTGAGTTCTTCTTTACAGTAAGTCTTTACACGCTGTGCGCTGATTTTAATAATAATAATCGCTGCTGTCGGGACAAAATCTCATACCTCCAAAATGGTAACTTTACAGGAGAAGGAAAAAACCTACTTTATTTTTAATGTAAGTCAATGGAACCGGAATTTTTTCCAAGTCATTTTGGGCACTTTCTTTTGGTTCATTCACCATTAAGTCATCAATTTACATACAATTTAAAGAGCAACAGGCATTTTCAGATTATGTCAACTGAAACTGAAAAACAACAGAAATGGGGATATGAGGTTTTGTTCTGACGGCAGCTAAATGTTTTTTTAAATTTAGTGGGTAAGTATTCAAAAAATATTCTCCCAAAAAATGTAAAAAGCAACTGTATTCTGAATACTAAACATTTCATGTCTGCATTCTGAATACGAATTCCCAATACTTGTTTTCCAATACTTCCCAACCCTGCACACTACAATATATTTTGCGCAGAAACTTAGATTTGCCACAGTTTCTGATTTGGTTGTTAATGAGATTTCAGTAAAGCTTGTCTAACCTCGCAATTCTTTTGCATTCAGAATCAGTGCAGTGCTGATGATCAGTACCTTTCCTGTGTTGTATCACTGGGACAGCAGGCCTGTGTTGCTGCCTTTGGGGTACAGGCTGTTCCTCACTGTATGTATGTCTCAGATACCTCAGTGTGGAGAGTGTTGTTGCCGTGGAGAAGGCCAGTGTCCAGGGCGTGAAGCTCTGATACTGTTTACAGTCTCCCCTCGACAGCTCCCATCTGTTTTTCCATACTGCCGACGCTGACAGCCTCGGGCCGTCCGGAAAATTCTGCATCCCGCCGAGTGGTGATGGAGCGCATGGACAGAGCCTGCTAATGAGCTAATGAGTACGGCTTATGGGAAGGAGTCATGTGACTGCCCAAATATGAGCCGTTCGTGTCAAGTCCCGGGTAAACATGATGGCGTGAATGTGCAGGTCCTGCACGTCGCCACTGTGCGCCGTCTGCTTTGAGGCATTAAGTTGGCTGCAATGATCAACATGAGGAAAGTCTTTACTGTTTGTGGGATGTTGTGCTATATTTGTAACACAAGGTCAGTAAAAGGTCTGCTTATTATGGGGCATTAAAGCTTACCTCTTTCCCCAAAGGTAGACCAAGATATGTTTGGTGTCTGAAGTTTGCTTCTTAGGATTTGTCCTAATGTAATGAAAGCTTATATCCTGCCAACTAGCCTAGGGCACACTGCAAGCCTAAATCAACACATATGTGCCTCAAACATTGCTTCAGAAATGACTTTTGTCCATACTTTGGTCAATTTTAATGACTTTGTGTGGTATTACTGCCTGACCTGAACCTGGCGCCTGACAAAAGATTGGGTTTTGGGACGGATTTGGGCCATTTTTCACGTACAACAGTTTACAACAGCTCAGGGGCGGGTTTGTTTTCTAACAAGTGAAGTTTTTGTTTTACAGTAAATGTTTTATTTGAAGGGAATATACCAACTAAATTTTGTCCACTCCATGTTCTTATTTTTCACGTACAACATCGGGCTTGAATCGGGCCAAAGTTCGTTTTCTAATGAGTAAGTGTTTATGCAGATTTATTGCCATTTCATTCATATGCTTACATAAATATCCCACACTCTCATGATTTCTCTGTCCTGCACTCCCTCCTTTTCCATCTCTGTAGGCTAGTGGTCTCAATAACTGTTGAGAAAAGAAAAAAAGGCTAAAACTCAGAGTTGGGACGTCTCAGTTGCAGCCTGGTTGTCACATCAGATAAAAGGACACAAGTCACCTACGGTGTACATTTACTATTCCAGCGTAAAAATAAACCTTTGATGAGAGAAAAACAGTTCCAGTAAAACCTGTTTATAGTTTATCTCTGAAAGACTTCGCTGGACCGATAATCAAAGTTAACAGCAGGTGACCAGCAGTTGAATTGGGCCGCTGTTGTTCACAGTTATGACGGCACAGCTGGTCTACGTATGATTTGCATTAGAGCTAAACAGACTAGAGGGTTTTATATGGACTGTACCCTTTGTTGGTGGTGCATTTCACCCCAATCCAGTGCCCAAAGTTGATCCTCATTACATGCATTATCATCACGAGACCACGTCCGGCCCAATGAGTCTAACCTCTGATTAACCTCTATTCCTTGTGAGCTGCATTAGCCTCTAGTGCTAAGACTAAAGAGGCAAACCGCAGACACCAAACATGTCTCTGCTGATCCTTTATATTTGTGTTAAGAGAGAAAAACTTAATTTTGTGTCAAACTATTACTTTAAACATATGACAACACTAAAGGGTGTTGTTAAAAGGGTGAAAAAAGTAACCTTGGCAACCCATAGCACATACATACACATCACAGATAACACCTCTTACAATAAGTAGGTGTGCTGATGGAGAATGAGGGCTAAAATTAGCTTTCAACTCCGGCCCCTCTACAAATATGCGTGACACTGACAGCCCCCCCCCACACACACACTTAATGACCCCAGAGTAATGTTTGGAGATCATTTTTCCCAATTTTCCCCACTTGGTCCGAAGCTCAGGTGGTGCCTAGTGACCAGGCAGCAGGCTAGGCAAATAAAAGGAAGCGATGCAGTTGAAAGCTTTGAGGCCTGAGGTTTAGAAGGCAGCAGCACAGCTTTCAACTCTGAATTCAATGTGAATGAGGTTCATCTGACCAGCTCAGACGTCTCCCATGCATGAGAACCACTGGTGTGTCCTGAGGCCTCAAGCGGTGATGGAGGTTCTCCATGGTTACGGGATAAGCACCACTCAATACCTGCAGCTGCATTACGGCCATGCGCAGGGCTGGTTTGCTTTAGCGTCAGCGGCGGCAGACCTGCGCACCACCTTCCTGGTGTTTTTCCCCATCTGCTTCCACCTGCGCACTGCGGTGGGGGTGAAGCTGCTGTGGGTGGCTGTGGTGGGAGACTGGATCAACCTGGTGCTCAAATGGTGAGCGATGACGTCTTTTTACCCCGACATCTCTGCAGTGATTTTTGTGTGTGTATTCATGTGTCTGTTCATTATGTGTTTACTATTGTTTTCAGCACCCAAATGTCTCAGTAAAGTGTATCAGTTTACAGTAGCTTAAAATGCATTCAGACATTCGTTCCATATTAAAAAATGTAATTCATAGTGAGCTCTATTTTTTGGTTAGGAAAATGTCGAATCAAGAGGCTTTTTTATAAAGACAGATCATTTCTGACATGTTCTTTTTGGTAAAGTGTTGCTTTCGAAGGCTGCTGAGATACAGATGGTTTTGGTTTGAGCAGCGTCTAAGTAAACTGGGGGAGTGTGAGAAAAACAGGTCCAGACTTTGAGGTTTTCTCCTCTGTGCTGTTTCATGAACTGCATAAAGTGCAGCCTGAATGAGGCTAAAAATATTTTGTTAAAAGTTTTATAAAGTAAATTTATCTGTTTATCTATCTATCTGTCTGTCTATCTGTCTGTCTGTTTGTCTGTCTGTCTATCTATCTATCCATCTATCTATCTATCTATCTATCTGGTTGTCTCTGTCTTACTGTCTGTCTGTCTATCTATCTATCTATCTATCTATCTATCTATCTATCTGTCTGTCTGTCTGTATATCTATCTGTCTATCTGGTTGTCTCTGTCTTTCTGTCTGTCTGTCTATCTATCTATCTATCTATCTATCTATCTATCTATCTGTCTGCTTGTCTGTCTATCTATCTATCTATCTATCTATCTATCTAT